AGGGGGGGGGGGGTCTGCACGCCCCCACAATCCCCTTTCATTAGGCTGTTGAAGACATTAGTCATGTAACTTTTATTAATAATATCATCTGTGCTCTTTCAAATCAGACATAAATGCTAATAAGGATGAAGTTCAGACGCACTGCTGGATGACGTCTGTGTGTTTTTTAAATGTTTGTTTATGACGCAGGAAACTCGATAAAATAAAGCTTTTTTTTTCTTCATGTCACTACGACCAAACCTCTTTTATAAATTGGGCAAAAAGCTTTCTTCAGCTTTACAAACGTCCACTTCAGCATTAAATAAAAACATCCAGCACTGATTTCAAACTGGTTCTGTCTTTATGTTAATAAAAAGGCCGGCCTGATAATAAATGCAGAAATCATCACAAAGCAAACAGTCCGAGCACTTTCACTGATGAAACGTGAACGCTTTGGAGTATTTTCTTATTTTGATTCTTATTCAAACTAAAATATTTTCTTTAGTCCTTTTCACCAGTTTTGGTTTTGTTATGTGTGACACTTTAAGGAACAGGTTGGTCATGGATATCGCTTTCTTTTTGCTTCCTATTAGCCAGAAGGAAATCTGAGATGGGTGATAAATTGCACCCTAATCCAAAAGCATACAGAGGTGTATCTCAGCTGTTATATATATATAAAGATACACACATGCATTCTTTAGCAAAACAGAGTGATTTAATACAAGGGCTGAATTCACAGTAAATATTTAAGTCATTTTTGTTTACTGGTGTTTTGGTGACGTTTTACTTTTTAGATGCTTCAGTGGAAAAAAGTTTAGAAAAAAGTTCTTAACTGACAATAAATCTCTGTGAGAAGAAATGTTACACTTTAATTTTGTATTCATTTTATCCCTACAGACTCTTAAATCTCCACCACAGAATGATGATTCAGTCTGAAACACCTGTGATGCCTCACCCCCCCTCGCTCCCCCTCCCGCTCCCCCTCCCCCCCTTACAGAAGCCTGATGTCATCCTGAGTGCGCTCATCTCTTATTAAACAATAGTCCATTTCCAACGGATGCATCAGCGCAATGAAACTCTCGCACATCTCGTTCATGGTTCGAGCCTTCTGAAAGCCTCTAACACAATAAGAGGATGCGACCGCTATTTTTTTAAGTGTGTGTCTTTCACCCCGCTCACCTCTCACACACTGATCTGGTTAAGAGAACAACCTGAAGATGAAATAAGTGAGGAAACGCAGATTGAGGATTTGTTGTCCCTGCCAGCTGTGATGGAGGTGGAGGAAACTCTCGACCTTGAGGTATGTTGGACATTTTTTTTCAAACTTTGATTTACGCCTCTGTGCAGAAGGTCAGTTTCCATTTTTTGTCCTTTTTGCTAAATCAAAAGTCGTGCTGCGTCTCAGCGTCCAGTCGACAAATCATTATCGACATTATTAATATTCCCAAATGTGCATTTTATAATTCTAAAGTTTTCTTTTCTAAACCCTCCTGTGATGACTTTTTTGGAAGCGCTTCTCTCCCTAACTCGCCCCAGCTGCCTCTCCCCATCCATCCATCCCCACCTCACTCACCTGTGACGTCTCTCTTCCTCTTACTGGAGCTCTTCTTGTCCGAGTCGGCCGACGCCACGCTCTGCGGCGAGTACTCTCCCTCGAGGCAGCCGGACGCAGCTCCCGGCAGCCTGTCTCCCCCCCCTACAGAGTTCTCCAGGTCGGGGCCTCCACCTCCGTTTGAGCATACTGCTACCGGGGCGACGATGGGCGGGGGGCAGGCCTCGGGCGCTCTCACCCGCGTCTCGCAGGGGTTGAACTGCCAGTCGGATCTCTGGTAAGCCTGGCTCTCCTGGTACAGTCTGTCGTCTCGGGGGTAGGCGCCGTGAGGGGCGGGCGGCACCAGGCAGGAGCTGGTGAAGTCCGTGTAGGTCAGGAACTCGGGCTTCTGGTGCAGGGAGAAAGGGGCCTGCTGGTAGGGCGACTGCAGGTTGGCTCCTGGGACGCCCGAGTGAGGGTTTCTCATGCAGCCCCAGATGGAGCTGCTGGGGTGGGCGCTCCGCATGCAGCTGCTGGCTGGTTGATCCATAACGATGCAGAAACCTCAAAAAGTCTTAATGAAAGTATTTTTCCCTTGTGGAGAAGTTGAAAATCTTCTAATTAGGAGTTGGAAATGTGAGAAAAAATCCCCCTCAGCTGCCTAAATGCACATCATGGTCTCACTGCAGGCTGTTGACTCTTCCACAGTGCGAGGACAGACGCCTTCCTGTGACAGCGCGTTGTTTCCCTCTCTCTCTCTCTCTCTCTCTCTCTCTGGGAGCGAGTGTGACGTCCTTTTCGGAGCCTCGGGTCCTCTCACACACTTTCCCCCCCTCTCTGTCCGTGCTGTCCTCTCACACACACTCTCTTGCTCCTCTACCTCTCACCGACTGATCTGACTGGCTTGTGGCTCGGCGGGAGAGCTGCATCCGCTAACTGCATGACTCCCCTCCTCGGGCTGGCTGTTTTCACAACTCTTCTAAGGCATTCTTGACAGGCGAGCCCTCCTCCCCGTTTAAAAAAAAAAAAAACGTTTAGGTGGGAAAGAGTGGCAAGTTTATGGAGTGTAACGTGAGATTGCAGGGGAGGAGCCCTGCACGGCCACATGTTGGTAGTACCCTCAAACCAACCCCTGCCTCATCAACTATTAATCACAAGGGGAAATTTTATATGCACATCTAATGGGCTTTCCAGACGTGAGGCTTTTTTAAAGGGACATTGTCTATAAAAAAATATAAAGCCCGCACCCACCCACATGAGAGCTGTGGACCCCCCGACTCATTTCAGCTCCTTAGCGCTTTCTGACACCCAATTTAGTTCCTTTTTTTTTTTTGACACCCTTTAGAGGAAAGTTAACCCCCAACCATTTCCCCGTGCACCCTGATCCCTGCCTGTCCTCTCCAATCTGAAAACTCCTTTTTTCTCGCCCTGTTTTTATGACTTTCTGTGTGTGTGTGTGTGTGTGTGTGTGTGTGTGTGTGTGTGTGTGTGTGTGTGTGTGTGACGCTACACACCCAAATCCACCTGGCTGGACTTTCTTTAGCTCCGAGGTGATAGGACGACTGGATTTGATTCAGGCTGTGCAGGCTCTCACACCTCTTGAGGTTTCTCACTTGTGTGAAACACAATATAACATTTCAGAGCCATATTTCAAACACTGCTTGTTAATATTTTCTCAGAGCAAACGCTGCGACTGAGGGTTGTTCTATTTTTTTTAGTGTGCATTCCATTGCTTGTGACAAAAGTCATGATTTTTTCACATTTGGATGAACTGAGATGTTATTATCAGGGATGTAACGAGACACTCGCGATAGGAAACACAGCATCACATCACGGGTTCATAATACGACTTTATCATGACGTTCTCATTCTTAGAGAGAAATTAGTTTTAAGTCAGCAATAAAAGAATAAATTTGATTCTTTTATTTAAATTCTCTGACTATAGAAATCCAAAGAAGCCTTTTCTTTACATACAATATAAACAACAATACATAAGGGGTCGCCGATAGTTTATGAGTCACACCCCATGTACAGCGTCCTTATTGCAGCGGTCTGCGGTTCAAATCCGACCTTTGGCCTTTGCTGCATGTCATCCCCCAACTCTCCCCTCCCGATACTTCCTGTCTCTCTTCAGCTGTCATCTCCAAAAAATGTCTTTAAAAAAATCCTGCAATACATAAAAAGAAACATTATATATATCTTACACAAACACTTTAAATTTTATATAAAATCAAAGAGCATTTTGGTAAATCTCTCGTGTTGCCTGTGTGTCTGGCATTTCAGCATGGAAAGCTTTTAAAGACTCTGAAGGTTCTCAACAGTTGACCCTTTTAGAAGTTTTTATGTATTTTGTTGAAAAGTTTTTTTTTTTTTTAAACTGGCTTTAACGTGTTCATCGTCAGCACTAATCCTTGAAAAACCAATGCATGTTGTGACCTCTGTGTTTGTTGAACTTGTTGGGGGGGGGGGCTTAAATCTGCCCCACAGTGAATGTTATCAATATGTTTTTTGATTTCTTGAGCATCTGGACGTAATGCCATTTTTCGTTTTGCGTCGTGTTGGTTAAACTATTTGTGTTGTTCATCAGCCTCTTGCAATATCTGCACACAAGTTGTGTTGTCTGCACCTTTAGGCCCCCCCTCCCCCGCTTTGAAAAAACAAAAAAAAAAGACGCATTCTCAACCTCAAAAATGTCCCTTGCTACCATCAAGTCTGTACCCCTTTCTTCTTCAGCTCCAGTCATTGAACAAAATAAGCCAAAAGCAGATAGCGCCCACAATATATTTTTTGTCCAATGGTTTTAAATTGACCCTTATTTATATCATTACATCCCTAGTTATTATTTTGTTTTTTCAAAGGTTTTTGCAGGTCACTCATACAAACCTCCTCCCTGTGAAGTAATGTCTCTAATACCATTAAAACCTTTTGGCTGAACCAAAAATATTGCACTCCATTTCAGCGTATCCGTTACCCCATAAACCCACTGAACCACATTTAACAGAAAAACAGTTTTCCTCATACTGCTCATATTTTTGAGCTGAGGTTCGACTTCTTCGTGTGTCCTCACTTTTGCTCCTGACCTCTCAGACGGGACGGGGAGGAGGATCACACCTCAACAGAGGGGGAAGGAGATACAGAGACAGGCAAGATTTGGAGATATGACAGAAGAAAGAAGGAGGAATGGGGAATATGAGATGAAAGAATTGGACTTTAGAGAGAGGGAGGACTCGGGGTAAGACATTTAGGGAAAAAATATAGGCTAAAATTGAAGCTACTCTATCTCATGTCTCAAAATGATTCAAGAGGAAGTCAGGATATGAACTCAGAAACAGACAGAAAAAAGATCTTAGCATACACTGCACACAAAAAAGTAAAAACAAAGATAAAGAGAGGCCATGGAGACAATTAGATTTAGCGAGGAGTCGACAAAATGAAAATGAAAAGAGAAAGTGTGATAGAGAGCAGCAGAAGGGAGAGTGTTTAAGGTCACACACCAAACCCCCTTTCCATTTACCCAGCGAATTGTTGAGCCATGAAGCATCCCCGGCTTTTACTGGCAGTCTGAGCCCCGGCCGCACCGCAGGGAGCAGAGGTTACTCTACATTTGTGGTCAGAGCAGGGGCCATCTGTGTGTCAGTATAAATCAGTGTGTGTGCTGTGTAAATATACGTCACTGCGAGTCTATGTGCACGTGTCTCAGTCAAAGAGATAAAAGGAGTCTATGTGAGAATCTGTACATTTTAAAGAAAGCTACAAATAAGTTTCTTTAATGTTCTAAAAGGAGAAAGGCGGGGTCAGAAGGAATCTGAGAGTTTTCAGAGGACACTTGGTCTTAGTGATGTGATTTCTATTCGCTGGGCTACATGTAGAACAATTGCAATGTGGAAACACAGAATCACTTTCAGCCACATAAAAACACAAAAACCTCAAAGCAACCTTTGAACTGAAGACATGTCGATGCAGACGTTAAGGTTTGAACTGTGTCATGGATCTGTCAACAGACACAGCTGATCTAATGGGGGTGAGTACTTTTTTCCAAGTTTTGCGCCCGTTTTGGTCCAACGCTTGGTTGACATCAAAGACAACCTCGTCGTAATGTGCTCAGTGAGCGGCCATGTCATTTCTATTTATATCATTTTGCATTATTTCATTCATAAAGGAGTTTCGGTGAAAACAGAAAAACAGCTAACAAGCTGGCTAACTTTACACCTAGCGAGTTTGTTAGCTTGTCACTTCCTACCTCCATTTTCTAGACCATGCCTTTTTGTGGAAGGTGTTTGTTGACAAATCGAAGAACCAAAGCCGATAACAAAATGACCCTACCAACAACAACGTTCAGAATTATCAAAGCCAGATCAATCTTCTTTTGTGCCATTGAGTGCCAGTGTTTTTCAGAAAGTTCTACTTGTAATGCTCGACCAGACTGATTGTTGCATCTTTTCAACATGGGTACTGAAGCGCTTTTGACTTAACCTCATTTTTCACAGACCGGACGCTGTGAGTACTAATGCACTTTAGAAATATCAACTCACTCTCTTTAGTTGAGTTAGATTCTCTAAAACAAACCCAGCAGGGAATGTAATGATATACTCTGTTCATAATGCTGGGTCACAATACTGGGTCACAGTACTGGTTCATGATATTCGGGGTCACGATACTGGGTTCACAATACTGGATTCTCAATACTGGGTCACGATATGATACTGGGGTCACAATACTGGGGTCACGATGCTGGTTCATGATACTGGGTCACGATATGATACTGGGTCACAATACTGGGGTCACGATGCTGGTTCATGATACTGGGTCACAATACTGGATTCTCAATACTGGGTCACGATACTGGGTTCACAATACTAGGGTCACGATGCTGGTTCATGATACTCAGTGTCAAGATACTGGGTCACAATACTGAGTTCACAATACTGGGTCACGATACTGGGTTCTGGATACTGGGTTATTTGTTTTGGTAAATGTAGTTACTCCCTATGCACAGATGTTTCAGGAGAATTCTAAGTCTTACATTAAAATGAAAAATAAAGAAATACATAACATTTCCAGCCTTATTCTTCAAGAAGATGTTATTCTGATGATCCAGAACTTTTTGATAAAGTTGCAAATGACTGCCGATTGAGAGAAATGTGGATTTAGTTAGGGAGCTTTTCGGCTCTCCCTGTTTTTGTAGAAGTGTAGGAGTGTTTGTTTGAGGGGCTCGGGAGAGTTAGGACTCAGGCTCAGTCATACACACCACGGAGCGCTGATAAATGAGCCTGACGTGAGTCACATCTCCCCTCACCCTGCCTGCAACCTGTTTCTGTCAGTCTAACATTGCATGTGTGTGTATGTGAGTGTGTGTGTGTGTGAGAGATAGAGATAGAGATAGTGTGTGTGTGTGATAAAATGAAAGACTATAATATACAGGAAAGAGAAAAAGAGTTGATGTAAGATTAGTTAAATGTTGCTCTGTTATGATATATGCATGACTTTATTCTTCCAAGTATAACTGTGAACGAGTGTGTGAGAGTGTGTTAGTGTAGGTGTGTGTGTGTGTTAGTGTAGGTGTGTGTTTTCATCTGATCCATCTTCATGACACTGGCAGGATTAAGGCCCTCCATCAGTCTCTTGAGGCTGACAGCGTGACCCTGTGTGACCCCAAGTTCACCTGGGTCCTAGTGGACTGCGGGAGTCCCCCTTATCTCTGCTACTGTCCCGGGAAGGAGCGTGAAGGAGCACGAGGAGGAGGGACGGGAACAGTTCAATGTGGAAAAAGTTTTAATTATAGAAAAAAATGTTTCCAGTCCAATTTCCAGGATTTGGTTTTAATCATTCTGCAGTCTCGTAGCCCCGTGTAAAGTTAATTCCTTCCACCGTTATAAAACCATCAAAGCCACTGAGATAATATCAGCTGACGAGTCGACAAACAGATAGGAGCCAATAAACAAGACTTCTGTTTACCTTCACTCCTGCTGCTGGACGGTTTCTCCTCATTG